GAGAGGTATATATTTTTTTAATTACGTCTTTAAAAAATGTGATTTTAGTTTCTTAAATGAGTAAAAATAATTGTAGTTTTTGTTTAATTGTTATATATGTCATTACAGTGTGTTTTTATTTATTTATTATTTTATGTATATTTAGAAATAAGCATCTGCGTCTTTAAAATCACCTTTTCACAGCTCCTTGTGCACAATATTTATTAATTTAGTTTTTATTTTTATTTTTTATCATAAAAACTTTTATAATTAAAAACAAAAACATTTCATTTCAATTATTTTGATATTTGTCAGAGTTCCACCACTGTATAAATGTGTATCCAAATACTCATTGTAGTCTGTTTTTATTTGATTTGACTTATTTATAATTATTATAATTATTATTATTGTTATTATTATAACAAATAAGCCTCTCTGTGTCTTTAAAATCACTCTATTTTTCCTGTATTTCTCCATATATTTACATTCCGCGAGACTTTCCGTGTCCTCGCGAGACTCGCCGTGACCCCCGTTTGCGAGAGGCGCGTTTCCCCGCAGAGGAGCGCGCATGGATCCCTGAGCGCGCACACTTGCACGCGCGCGCCCCCGACTCCCCCAAACACACGCACTTCAGCGCGCTCGGTGTGTTTATTCGGTGTGTGTTTAGTGTTTACGGTTCGGCGACGATGTGGATCCAGATCCGGACGATCGACGGTAAGGAGACGCGCACGGTGGAGGATCTTTCGCGCCTCACCAAGATCGAGAGTCTGCGCGTGAAGATCCGCGACATCTTTAACGTCAAACCGGAGCAGCAGAGGCTCTTCTACCGGGGAAAACAGGTAAAAACCCGCCTTCTGCTCCTGCTGATGGCGCAACCGCGCAGAACGAGCACGAACTGATCCGGATTCGGCCAGAAAACTCTAAACTTCCTGCTCACAGACCCGCGCTTCCGCTGACAGTCCGTCTAACGTTACTGTACATGTGTACATACATCTGCGTGTGTGTGTGTGTGTGTGTGTGTGTGCGCGCGCGCACGTGTGTGTACTGTACATGTGTACATCTGTCTGTACTGTACATGTTTACATCTGTGTGTGCGCGCGTGCTCGCGTGTGTGTACAGTACGTTTACCTGTGTGTGTGTGTGTGTGTGTGTACTGTACATGTATACATCAATGTGCGTGTGTTTACTATACGTTTACATCTGTGTGTGTACTCTACGTGTTTACATGTGTG